CTGCTTGTTGTTGCATCAAAAGGGGAATAGATAACTCAGTTTTTTTGTTTTATATATTTTTTTATTTTGCTTTTTAAAGAAGACTGATTCCACATGGCCACACCTAAATTAGTCATGTTTTTTATGCTCTGGTTTATAACTCAGTATGTGTTGAGTGTTTGCACAAATATTTATTTCTGTGTTTTACTGTGGCTTGTGTCTAATAATAAAAAAAAAAAAAAAACAAGTTATGCCATAGAAGTTGTTTTACAATTCACAGGATGTGCCTTTCTCCCTTATAATGTGTTAAAGATGGGGTCCAACTTCTATCTGTTTACTACTGTGTAATATAAACTTTTTACAGTTACGGTCCATATAAAACATCTACAAGGAGGAAATTAACAGTTTCTGCTACATCACTCTTACTTAAAAGTCATTTAACAGGCATTTCCGTTACTTGTTTGTATCCAAAAGCAGCAGTTTTTGTTTTCCTAAATGAAGACGTACAAGTGGGTTGCATATTTACGGGTGATGTATTTCAGCCGGACATATTCCTTCAAGAGACAAGCGCTGGGCCTGATGCCAGCTGGATGTGCTCAGTAGTTTTAGAGAAAATTATCCAGATCTGTACCAAAATTTACGAGGCAAAGCCTTGTAATTTTTTACACATTCTTCATGGTGAACATAAAAACAGACTAAAAGAACAAGGGATTTTTTTGTATTTTAGTTTGCACCTTTTTAAAAGATGCTACTTGTTTACAATAAAAGAAACATTCTCCATTTGATTCTTAGTTCCTATAGTTGTTATTTCTTTAATAATATAAATATAAATATTGGCTTAAATCATAGATTTGTTTATATCAGTTTTGAGACATTTTTCCTGTTTGACTACCCTCATATAGTGATACTGGAAAAGCAGCAAAAGGTTGTTGGTCATTTATAAAGCTTTGCAGAGAGTAGTGAAGGCTGCACAGAAGACTGTTGGAGTCAGTCTTACCACCATCACAGACATGAGCCACCTGCATCATGAAGGACCCCACTCACCCAGCACACACACTTTTCACCCCGCTCCCCTCAGGAAGGAGGTTGAGGAGCATTAAGTTAGAACCACTAGACTGAGGAACAGCTTCTACCCTGAAAATGTTAGACCCATGAATAACCAGGATAATCACTGTGAAAAATCACATTATGTTGCTACTGATCCTTTTCATGTTGCTGCTGATCTGTTTCATGTTACTTCTGATCTGTTTCATGTTGCTGCTGATCTGTTTCATGTCGCTGCTGATCTGTTTCATGTCGCTGCTGATCTGTTTCATGTTGCTGCTGATCTGTTTCATGTCACTGCTGATCTGTTTCATGTTGCTGTGTTCATTCATACTCATCTGCTCACACAGACTCATGTTCGTGCTGCTGTTTGGCGTATGGTTTTTGTACTACTAGTGCTTTGTGTATATTTTATTAATGTTTTTCTTAGTTCATATCTTAGATCTTATTAGTTTTTCTTTTACATTTTAATAGTTTTGTTGGATGTAACTGGGACCCTGTGTACACAATTTCATTCCACCACAAGTACCACGTGTGGTGGAATGACAAATAAACAACCTTGAATCCTTGAATTTGTTCTCAGCTGCTGTTGGGTCTCTTTCTGCACAGCCTATAAACCATCAGGAGCTAAAGGTGAAAGATTTTAATGTCTGTAACAAACATCTTCAGAACTGCTTCGACCACAGTCCAGGGGATATTACATAAGAGCTGTTTTAATTTTCCAGTTATGTCTTTTTTCTCTCTTTGTACAGATTATTCAATATTTAAAAGCAGACAGCTGGTTTTTGTTTCGTTGTCAGTGCAGTTTTTAGTGAAAGGACTGGTTTCAGCGTTTCCCTTGAGGACGCTTTAAGAATGTACAACTGGCTGTACGGGACAAAATTCCTGGCGGATGATTGTAGATTGACAAGAAGTGGACAAACTGATGCCATGACGTTTACAACTTGATTTGTTTGCCAAAGTGTGGGGGAATGACGGTGTTTTGAGTGACCTGCTGAGTGTCATCCAACACCACAGTGTTGGTGAAGTGATTAGTTCTCTTTCCATCTTTTAATCCTCGGCACACGGAGGAACACCGGGTCATCAAGATGTCAGGGAGAAATGTTATTCCCATATTGAAATGGTAACCATTGGGTGTAGTTTAAAGCTGCCAGGAGTACATGAGAGAGATTGTGGAAATGAGCTTCAGCTTGAAAATGTTTCCCAGATGGTCTCCTGGATTCTAAGAGAATATATTTACGTAGGTTTAGTGTGAGGTGCATCTATTTTACTGTAAATATCACAAACC